TTAGCTGCTTTGAATATTTCTGCTGATAAACATTGTCTGCTTTAACCTGCTTTAAAGCTTCAACTTTCAAACCCTCAAACTGTAATTTAATTACATTCATTAGTGTCATTTCAAAATAAAAACTAGGTGAAGGGGGGGAAAAAGCATGCACACCTGGTAGGTAGGACATTTCTGTTATGGGATTAAAAACTACATCATTACTACAAATCATTACTACATCTTTAATAAACTCAGTGCTGACAGTGTGCAGGAATTCAACCTTTTCTTTTACATCATTTCATTCTTCTTTGCACCTGTCTACCAGGTGTGCATTACATAAGTCTTAGATTGCCTTTCCATGTGGGAATCCTGCAAGTAGATTAAAAAAAAGAGCCACCGGGTCTATCAGTACAGCTAAATTGCAGTAACTGTACCCAGGGAAATATTTAGAATTACAGGAAATGCAGTAAGGTCTCACGGAAAGACCTGTATGTGAACCATTAATCTACTACACCATTTCATACAAGACATCAATTGCATGTGGTTCAAGGCAGTTGAGATACACTTTGTCAAACAAATGTTGCCACCATCACCCTCAATATCAACCAGGGAGGCTGTTCTTCGCCAGTACTTTTGTTTGTTACAAAACACAGGCAACAGCAACTCATTGCGGCCCCTGACCCACACTACTGGCCTGGCTATGGTGTAGACCAACATCTGCCTCCTCTAACATTAGTGATGGGAATTAATAAGAATTTAAAGATTCCGATTCCATTATCAATATTGCTTTTCGATCCGATTCCTTATCGATTCTCTTATCAATTCTCTTATCGATTCTCTTATCGATTCTCTTATCAATTCTCATTGGGTGAGGGAATAAGTACAAATTTGTGGTTAGGGTTAGGGTTAGTACTGTTGTATTAACTGGCTTTAATATCTGATCAGAAGACACAGCTCAGAGTATACACAAATTATGTGTAGCAACCTCAGAACAAACAAACCTAAAAGTAGGTAAGCTACTTCTCAAAGTAAAGTCCAGGACCCATAGCCTAGGGCAGTGTTTCTCAACCAGTATGCCATGGCACACTAGTGTGTGCCTTGACAGGGCCTGTCCTGCCTGGAGAGTTACCTTCGCCATTAATAACAGATGGCGTCCCGTTAGCTCCGCTGCAGCTTGACTCACTTGTGTCGCTAAGTAGTAGTGTATCAAACACACGACAGTCCTGCAAATGCAAATTGCTGTGTGGCCAAATGTTTCTGC